GTCAGATACTTAGCCTAATTAACACAGGTGGAGCGCACTCAAGTTAATCAACACCATGATATAAATACAGCTGACTTACCTCTATCCATTGACGGTTATCAGAATCTTGGTTCGCTCGTCTACAACCATGTCGCAAAAACAAACCTCCTCGTCTGAAGATGAATCCAACTCTCCTCCGGTCCCATCGCCGCAACCAGCCGGCCCTAAGACCACTCCTCCTCGGAGTAGCACCTCAATCGAGCCCCAGGCCCCATCTCGCGGACGCGGTTCGGCTCGAGCAGCCACTCGCCTCCCAAGACGCCTAGGCCTACCCTCGCCATCTCCGGCGAGAACCCCAGTCGACTCCCCGGCGTCCTCCTATCGCTCGGCCAGGCCAACGATTCCACCAATAGGAAAGTGGACCGTGTCGAGTCTGAGGCAAGCGCTGACCAAATCCGACATCCAACCATCACACAGGTTAAACAAAGCAGAATCATATGACTTGTACACAATTCTGCATCTAACTAACCTCTCTCCTGAGCCCACCCCAAAGAAGGGCAAACGGCAAGACAAACCTCCAGATATGCCTCACCGAACTCCACCGTCTTCCTCTCGCGCAAGGCCCAGCTCTCCGCGATTAACAAGCCCCGGATCCCGCCGCCGCAAGGGTGCATGCGACACCGGCCGCAGCTCAGCCTCGCACCGCGGCTTCTACTCCGACAACGCCGGGGCCCGTAGCTCAAGCAAGCACTTGGCCGCCTCAGCCGCCAATCACAGCCCCGCCACACGCCACTTTCGGCTCAGACCTCACAGCCCAAGCAAGCGCTTGGTCGCACTGGCTATCGAACACAGCCCCGCCGCCCGTCACCTTCAATTTGGGGACCGCAGCCCAAGCAGGAATTTGGCCGCACTGGCCGTCACACACAGCCCCGCCGCCCGCCCCTTCCAGCTCGGAGCCCGCGGCCCAAGCAAGCGCTTGGCCATACTGGCCACCACACACAGGCCTGCAACCCGCCCCTTCCAGCGCGGGGCCCGCGGCCCAAGCAAGCGCTTGGCCGTACTGGCCGTCACACACAGCCCCGCCGCCCGCCCCTTCCAGCTCGGGGCCTGCTGCCCAAGCAAGCGCTTGGCCGTACTGGCCGTCACACACAGCCCCGCCGCCCGCCCCTTCCAGCTCGGGGCCTGCTGCCCAAGCAAGCGCTTGGCCGTACTCGCTGGCAAACACAGCCCCGCCCCCAATCCCCTTCAACTCTCTCCTCCAAGCGAAATCACAATACTCGCTCTTCACCGCTACACCAATGCCCGCCCCAACAAACGCCATCGCCTCTGAACCTCCCCAAACGGCTCACAACATCAGAGCGCTGATATTAGCAGGTGCGGACGTCGATCTCTCTTCTCTTCTTTCCCTCCTGCCCACTTCCGACTCAAACCGTCAAATAGACTGCGGGGATTTCTCAGTCACTTTAAAAAACCCAAATCCTCTTTCATCACGACTACTTTCTTTTTCTGAGTTCACCATTGCATTTAGTCGGTTCACCGAGATCATCTGTTCAGCCTTCCCCCACAGGCGACGCGAACTCAATGATTATCTGTCAATTATAGCCAAGCTCGCATTGTCCTACGGAGGGAGCCATTTTTACACGTACCACAAGCTGTTTTCTGCAAAATGTGCAGTACGAGTCGCCCAATGGAACCAGTGCCCTTACTGGGGCGCACTCGATCCAGATCTCCACAGCCGGGTATTTTTAGGCTGCAGGAACATTTCTTGTGCGGTTTGTAGGTCAGTCGCTCACTCCACCATGACTTGCCCACAAATCAACCCCTCTATACCCTCATGCCCTGATACTTCCTCGGTGAAATCCACCAGCTACGTCCCAAGATCCGCAACTACTGCAAACTCGGGTCCCGAACAACCAGCCCCATCAGAAGCAGATAACAGGCAGCCATGCACCTCATTTAACAACGGGAGATGCTTCAGACAGCGCTGCCGGTTCCTTCACATCTGCAGTTTCTATGGTGGAGCTCACGCCCGCATCGTCTGCCCAGTGTTTAAAGCTGTGAATAAAAAATCAAAAAATTACCTATCGACTTTGAATATTTCTCGCCTAACCATCGAACTCGCTCACCACCCAGACAAAGAATTCACTAATTATCTTCTGTCTGGCCTCAGACACGGTTTTAACCCCAGCATCGAATGCGCGCTTACTCAAAATTTCATCTGCAATAATCTCCAATCCGTCCCATGCAGAGTCCGACATCGTAGACAACCTAATCAAAAAAGAAGTAAAGTCAGGCTTTATGATCGGCCCTTTCGATAAACCTCCCTTCGAAACGTTTCGCGTCAGCCCCATCGGAGTGGCTACTAGGAAATTCTCAGGTAAGAAACGCCTAATAATTGATCTATCATCACCACATAATTCCACGGTCCCAAGCATTAATAGCTTGATCCCTCTTGACGAATTTTCTCTCAAGTACCACGACATAGATCAGGCAGTCGAATTGATTAAAATTGCGGGTCGAGGAGCCTGGCTCGCAAAAATAGACATCACTTCTGCCTTCAAAGTGATGCCTATTCATCCGGACTCATGGCATTTGTTCGGGATACGTTGGCTCGGGAAATTGTATTTCGCCGTCCGTTTAACCTTTGGATGCAAAAGCAGCCCCAAAATTTTTGACATGTTATCAGAAGCCGTTTGCTGGATCTTGTCCAGTAATTACGCAATGCCCCACCTTATTCACCTCCTAGACGACTTTCTGGTCATTTCACCTCCCGCCGCAATCCCAGCCACCCACATCCTCACAGTCCAAAATGTTTTTTCCGAGCTTGGGATCCCCATCACTCAGGAAAAAACCATGGGTCCCGCTACGTTCATCGAGTTCCTCGGCATCAACTTAGACTCAGCTAAATTTCAGCTCTCCCTGCCCAAGGAGAAGATCGATAGAATAATCCTCATCTC